AAAAAAAAATTAAAAAAAAAAAAAAAGTCCTGCAAATACACAGTATATGCATGTACCCATCATGCAGACTGCACTCATTAAGGAAACGCATTGTTGGAGACAGACAGCTCGGTCCCGCTGGCTGCAGCCTGCCCTCCTTCTGGCCCCGAGGTAGCTGTCTTGCACGTGGATGTGCCTACAAACATACGCCTGCGTTTGCACCATTCTTTGTGCACAGAGTACGTGTAGATAAAGAGCATCTTTACTGTTGACTCTCACTTTACGTACACAAGGTCAGGCTGGGCCCGGTGCTGCGTGTTCCCGAGGCTTGGCAAGTTGGATACACGCAGCTTACACATACACGCCCCCCCTTTTTTTTTTCCACTGGTGCCGGATTCACTTATGTGAACAAACCACAGCTGAGTTATTGACACCCCTGTCGATAAATGACCCACTAGGTCATTTCCATCTGTCCTCCGTTGCACTCAGCGCTGTGGTGACGTCCTCTCAGACCCCTGAATTCCTGCGATTTGGCCCTTTTCCTTGGAGCGGCCAGCTGGGCCGGCGGGGCTCGAATGCCTCTTGAAGAGGTCTGTGCAGTAAAAATGCTGGAAAAGCAGAGCCAATCAACCCTTGTAAACTAAGGAAAACGGGGAATAGTGGGTGGAGGACCCGCGTCCGTGAACGGCCCCCCACAATCCCTAGGAGGACAAACGAGCTCACCAAGGACCCTCCAGCTCCTTCCCACGGGCAGTCCTCACGGCGCGCTGGGATCCGCTGTCCCCTCCGTGGCCAGGTGCGGTGCCGGCCGCCGGCTCCCTTCTCTTCGGGCTGCGGGGCGGGACGGGGCTGGGCGCGGTAGCCCCCCAGGCCAGCGCCAACTTGGCCTGCCTGCTCTTGAGCCACGTGACTTGCTCCAAAACTCAAAGTTCAGGCACCAAAGTCTAAGGCAAGGGAGGAACACAAAAGGCAAATTCTGATCCAGGAAATAATTTGACAGCTCTCTGACTTCCGTGCTTTCTCAGTGACTACAGACACTTCCCCGGGGCCGGGAAGCAGGGTCCTCGAAGGAAGCCGGGTCGCGAGCCCTAGAATGTCGAGGGCGCTTGCCAGGTGCCGTGGGTACCCACAGTGCCTGGGCCCCTCTGGGACTGTGGTGTTGGTGGCTCGTGTCGATGAATACACTAAAAGCCATAAACTGCACCCCTTAAATGGCTGAGTTGTCCAGTATATGAATTATTTTAATAACGTCTTTTTTTTTTTTTTTTTCAAATAAAAAGACCACAGAGCTGTCAGCAACCACACCCTGCTTCCTTCCGACCCCACGCCCTGCCCGGATGCAGGGGAGGGTGGGTGGTGAGGAGGAACCCAGGGGATCGGCCTGCCCCCGCCTCCCTGAGGCCAATGCCTGCCACCCTCGACATATGGGACACCAGCCTCCCGTTCCTCCTTCCGTCTTCTGGGCCATGCCAGGCCTGCACACGCCCTCAGCCGAGCTTCGTCCTCTGCCCTGGGATGTTCCCTGACGCCCCCTCCTTTCTGTCCCGATGCTTGCTCGGCCCAGCATCCGAGTCCCCCTCAGCTGCCCTGCGCCCCCAGGAGCGCCTGTTCCGTAACATCGATGACACCTCATGAGCGCAGCTGACTCCCACACGTCCAGCTCAGAGTCTGGGTCAGATTCAACATACAAAATCCGTGCGAGTGGTAAAGGTGCTGCCTGAAGCAGGCCCAGGGGACCCCTCTGCCCCAGCTCCTCGCAAAGGGAGCCAGAATTTTATATATTTATATAAAGCAGCCGCAAACTGAGGGGAGCTTTGGCCGCCGAGCCCTGAGACTGATGGAGTGGTGTGGCGCAGGGCAGAGGGGCACGGGACCCCGGGACAGGACCAGGGAAGGGTCTCAAGGACTCTCTCCCCGCTAACTGCTCATCTGGAAAGAAGAAAACTCGGGCGGAGTCTGCAGAGGCAAAGGCACCCCAAACTCCCCCTGACTTCCACTAGAAGAAGAAGCTCCACAGAGGTGGGCGGACCTTCCTGGGGGTGCACGCACCCTGCACCGATTGGAGGCAGGAACCTGGACCCCAGGCTGCACTCCCGGCCGCACGGTGAGCACCGGGTCCATTCGGTTTCGGGCCTGGCCCCAGACTTCGCAGGACTCCCACACAGGGTCTGCTAGGACTCGACTATCCACAGACCCTGCCCCATCGGAGGGAACACAGAGCATCAGGGCAGATGAAGACAGAGGTCTCCCCAGGACTCTCCACACCCCAACCAACCGCCGCCCTCTCCTGGGACCCTGGGGACCCTGGGGACACCGAGGCCGGGTAAGGGGGTGTAGCTGGGTGGCAGCCATCGCAGCCCATCCTTTGTGCGGCGAAGCAGCCGACGATGAAACCCCGAGTGGCAAGAAAACACGTAGGAGTGTCTTTGCAACTCGCTTCTGATGTATTCTATTTTTTTAAGTTCACTTATTTACTTTGAGAGGGAGAGAGAGCAGGATAGAGGCAGAGAGAGAGAGGGGGGGAGAGAGAATCCCAAGCAGGCTCCGGGCTGAGTGTGGACTGAGCCGCGAGATCATGACCCGAGGCGGAACCGAGAGTTGGACGCTCAACCCACTGAGCCCCCCAGGCGCCCCTCGGTTCCAGTTTAAATAGGCCTTAGTCCCAACGGTGAGGAAAAGTTACCCTGGAGATCCCTCTAGACCTTTTCAACTCTGCAAAATGCGCGCGCAGACGTGTTCACACTCGCTCACACGCACAGATGCACGCACAGGACTCCAGAACAGGAGAACGTGAGTCAGCGAGAGCTCAGACCATCCGGTGACCTGCACGCATGGTGAGCGAGGCCAGTGGTCACCCAGCGAAGGAAGAGGTGCTTTCTTGCACCCCTCAGCTAAGAGCCCACTCCAGTGCCCCCGTTTCCATGTGTGGCTGTGTCCTTCCCACCAGCAGCAGGCAGCTGGGTGTAGAAACCTTCCTTCCCCTCCCTTCACCTGGGGCAACAATGTAGAGATTACACATCAGAGCGCTTCTTTCATCCATCGCGGCCCATGATGCCAATGCGGCACTGAGCCACCAGAGAATGTTCAAGTAATGTAACCAAGCCAGATGGGACAAGCTGTTCCCTCCTCTCGTCCACAGGCAGGCACCTCCACTCCTAAAGAGGCAGGAGCCCCCCCCCCCCCCCGACCGCTCCAGACCCCATCCCGACCTTCCACCTCCCTGTATGCTGACCTGCTCTCTCGGGCACAGACTCCATGCCCTCGCCTTCCTTGTCCGGGAGAAGCAAAGGCAGGCTGACCCACGACGGGCTGAACGGCCGACGAGCAGGTCTGACAGGTCCTTCCGTCTGTCCCGGCCCTGCCCACAGAGCCTGCGCCTTGCCCTGGGTCTCTGCAGATCTCACGGCAGGGAGGATGCTTGCTTTTGTAAGAACCCCGGAATCCACAGAAGGCAGTGACTGAGAGGGTGATGCAGAATCTTGGGGTCTTGGGGTGCTGGGAATCTTCTCTCTGTGAGCAGTCAGCCCAGCGCATCGTCAATCCCTCAGGATAAGTCCTGGATTTTTCTCTGGTTCTCATGGTCAGTTGTGGGGAATGTCTTAGGCATCCCAATGCACCCCCCTAAAATCAGCATTTGATAACTACTATTTAGGGTTAGACAAAGGTCTTGGTTCACTTCTCACCGCTTGAACCAACATGCCCCGAGCTCTACAACGACCTCTCCTCCGTCTGCTGCCCCGACAACACCCCCCACCCCGGCTTCTGGCCAATTCTTAAGACGGCTGTTCATTTGGGGATGTGCCAGGGCAAGGTCATTTCCTTCTGTCCTCACATCCTCACCATGACCCACAGTGCCCTGCGTATCTTGTACTTGCTGATATCATATCCATTTACCTGCTCCACACACAGGGGCCTACGCAAAAGCCTTTGAAAGCGCCAGGCACACTCCAGCCCCAGGACCTTTGCACATGCGGTTATGTCTGCTTGAAATGCTCTTTCCTTCACTTCCTTTAGGACTGCACTCCAGGGCCATCTTCCCAGAGAGGTCTTTCCGGGCCACTCTATTTAAAATCACGGACTCCCCACTCTGGTTATCCCTCCCTCCTCTTTTCCCTGCCTCATTTTTCTCTGTTGGACGCACTGCTTCTGAATACGTGAAACATTCCTGTTCCTTGTTGGTCTCGTGCCTGCCTCCCCACCACGAGCCTGTAGCCTCCAGAGGGCAAGAATCCTTGTTTCTCCTGTTCTCTGCTGTGTCCCCACACCCAGAACAGTGACGCTCCATCATGACTCCATGGGCTGAGCAGGAAGGACCTTAAAGATCATCATCCCAACAGACAAGGGTCAGTTCCCAAAGTCACACAGCTAGTTCATGGCAGAACAGCAACAGAATGAGGCGAGGAGAAGGAGGAGGCTGTGGCCGCCTGGGAAGACGGGCCAGAGCGCAGACCTGAGGTCACATTTGGACACAAACTCTCAGCCGGGACTCTTAGGCAGGTTACTTAACTCCTGAGCCCTGGCTTTCTTCCCTGCCCAGTGGGGTTAATAGTGGCACCCGCATCACGGCGGGAGAGCGCTTCTCACCATGCCTGGTGCACGGAAAGTTCTAGGTAGTTATAAAAAGCTCAAAGAAATGCCAGCATTCTAAGTGGAAGAGGAGGCCAGGGAAGGTGGCTGAATCCTCAATAAGCCTCTGCTTATCTGTAAGTTCTTTTGGTAAAGAACAGAAATACCAAGGGACGCCTGGGGGGCTCAGGCAGTTGGGCGTCTGACTTCAGCTGGGGTCATGATCTCACAATTCACAAGTTCAAGCCCTGTGTCAGGCTCTGTGCTGACAGCTCGGAGCCTGGAGCCTGCTTCGGATTCTGTGTCTCCCTCTCTCTGTGCCCCGCCCCCCTCTTGTTCTATGTCTCTCTCTCTCTCTCTCTCAAAAATAAATAAAAACATATTTTTTAAAAAGCAGAAATTTCAAAAGACCTGTCAGAACAGAGTTGAGGAAGCCCCCGGTTCCCAAAGGGCCATGAGCTCAGAAGGAGGCCAAAAACCATTTCTTAGTCACCACAGCAACGTCGGGTGGACCCCGACTGACAATTTCCCCACACTTCCAAGGTCAAGAAAGCAGTATTTCTGTTAACTGTTTTTCTGGTTTGGTTGAAAGAGTGTCTTCTGGAGGGACACCCAAGGAGTGGGTTGGGGTGGGGGACCCGGTAGGCATGGGGACAGCGCCACCTAGTGACCACATCCCAGAGATGTGCTCGATAAAGGATCACGGAGTGATCAACAGTCACTGTGAACTGCGCGGGGCCACAGAGCACCTCTGGGGGATACTTTTATCCGTAAAACATAGGGAGTGTGAGTGGGGAGGTTTCTGGGCTTGCTTTGCAATCATGACGTTGGCAGCGGGTGGGGGTGCGGGTGCTAGGTGCTGGGTACGTGAAGGTCCCATATGGAGAAAGGCAGACCCAAAACAGAAGCCAGAGAACAGGAGTCCAGGTACCAGCCCACGGCCCTCAGGGGCAGGTTCCAAACAGGAGATGACGTACCTAAATGGGGCTATGCTCCTCCGCTCTTCCGACTAATGCTGGGCAGGATTCCAGAACTTGGAGGCAGCTTCTCAACTGCTGAGCTGGAGGCGGATTGAGTGTCCCAGGGCGGGGCTGGGTGTGGTTCTGAGGCTGGCCTCTGGTGTGCAGCCAGCAGTGTGGACCCCACAGCCCCCCTCAGGGACAGAGCCGGCAGCGTGGACCCCACACCCACCTCTGGCCAGCACCAGTTCGGAGAGTGGGCCGAGGAGGGCAGGAAGCAGCTATTTCCACAGGAGCAGATAAAACCGGTCATTCTCTGTTGCGTTTCCCATTCTACGTGCAATCATCTGCCTGTCAATCCCACTCGGATGTCTGGGCATCTCAAATCTAACTCAGCCAAACCAGGTCTATTGAAAAAATGTTTTATTTATTTTTGAGAGAGAGAGAGAGAGACAGAGCACGAGCAGGGGAGGGGCAGAGAGGGAGGGAGACACAGAATCAGTGTCAGCACAGAGCCTGACTCGGGGCTCGAACTCACGGACTGTGACATCGTGACCTGAGCCGAAATCAAGAGACGGCTGCTCCACCAACTGAGCCACCCAGGCGTCCCTAAAATTAACCATTTTAAAGTGAACTATTCAGTGGCATTTAGTGTTTTTGTCTTGTTGTTTTGTTTCGTTTAGAGAAAGAGCACACACGCAGTAGAGGGAGAGAGAGAATCACAAGCAGGCTCCATGTTGTCGCTGTGGAGCCTGACACAGGGCTTGACGCTCCCAATGGTGACATCGTGACCTGAGCTGAAATCAAGGGTCAGACACTTAACTGACTGAGCCCCCCAGGCGCCCCTGGAACGCATTTAAACTCCACTCACAGCCTGTAAGACCTTTTATGATCTGGCCCTGCTTGCCTCTTATCGCACCCCCACACTTGCCCACGCTCATGATGCCACCAATACCTTGGCTTCCTGCCCCCCTCTTGTACTGATCCCCTGCCTGTCTGGGAGTGTTCACACTCGTCATCCCTTCTTCCTGGAACACTCCTCCCTGGGGTGTTTCCACGGCCACCTCCCTTAACAACTTACACGACACCTTCCTCCAGTCACCCAGAAAATCAGCGACCCCCTCTCTTCCACTCTGCTTTTTTTTTTTTTGCATCACAGCAATGATAAAGCCTGCAGTTACCTTATTGGTCTGCATGTTGTGTCGGGCTTGCCCTCCTATGGAACACGAGCTCTGTCCGGCAGTGCTGTCTGTCCTGTGCGCCACCCAATCCAGCTCCCGGACCAGCGCCTGCTCCACAGAGATGCTCCTATGCACCTGTACCTTCGCCGCCCAAATGCCGGACGCTGGCAGGGTGTAGTCGAGGCTCCAGCCAGTGGGTTCGGGAGCACGGTAAGAGAGGGCCACTCCTAGAGAGGAACAGTGGGGAGGGCAGGAAGTCCATCTTTGGGGACAGCCCCTCGGATTCAGGGCATCAGCTCTTATGGTGATGATTCATGGGAGCCCAGCCCAGCCCAGCCCAGCCCAGCCCAGCAGTGCTAACCTAAACCTCCGTCTGCCCCTGGACAAGACAAGCCACTTTGACGGTCTCCACCGTGGGTCTAACACAGGTACCAAGAAAGAAGCGGGTGGGCTCCTGTGGTGTAGCCCACCGACCTGTCCCTGTGTTCCCCATTGCTCCAGGATGAGCTCAGTTTGCTCCCGAACAGCCGGATCCGTCCCGCGGTCCTCCTGCCCTCCTGCTCTACACACCCAGGCACACCTACTATGTGCTTGGGCAGGATGGGGAAAAACACAGACACGGGGCCCTGCCCTCCCTGCGTTAGTCTAATCAGGTAGGGCAGCCTCCCTCCCCCAAATATAAAGGGTGTGGGAAGTGAGGCACAGGAGAAAGAGGGGGTACTGTGCCCAAACAGAATGGGTGGGTCCCCTGTGGGGACAGGAAGTCCTGGGATAAAGGGCCCGGAGGTGAGAAGCCATCGAAATCCACTCTTTAGGGGACTCAGAGTGGAGCCATTTCTACTCTGCAGCTTGTAGCTGGAATTGTAATTGAGATGTCTATTAAGAATGGAAATGTTAATCTGCATGTTCGAGCAGTGGAAACGTGTATATTTACTGAGGGCCAAGCTGGGCTGTCCATTCGTGTTTTTTTATGTTTATTTATTCTTGAGAGGGTGTGTGAGCAGGGGCGGGGCAGAGAGGGGGACAGAGGATCCGAAGCAGGCTCCACGCGGACAGCAGCGGGCCCGACGCGGAGCTCGAACTCATGAACCTTGAGATCACGACCTGAGCCCAAGTCGGACGCTCAACCGACTGAGGCACCCAGGCGCCCCCCGGGGTTGTCAATTCTTGCTTTGTAAGCAGATGCTTACGCCCAACGCGACATAGCGACGTGGAAACAGGAGGCCAACAGACAGAGCAAGTGACTAAGGCGTGTTCTCAGTATCCAACCAACCAGTTACGTTTGCTATTGGTGATGAAGCAAAATGCGTTTCAGATCCTGCTGACCCTTTGGGGCACGTTGCATGGGCTTCGTGAAAGTAGCACAGTATCGGAGCAGGAAAACATCTCCCGAAGTGACGCTTTTCCGGCCGCACTTACCAAGAGCCGCCTGTCCTGCGTGACAAAAACATGGCTCTGCTGCCATCTACTGAACTCCGAGCTCCCCGGAGTGGATTTACCCTCCTTATTCTCCCAGAGGCCTCTTGGCCACCAAGGGGGACCTGCCTGTTATGTTCAGGTGCACCCCCGCTGTGTCCTACACCTCACTGTATTTTGGGGGGGCGGGTGTCATCCCATCTGATTACGCAAGCCTCAGGGACAAAGACCACGTCTGCCTGGTTCCCCTTTGCTCCCTGGAGAGCGCTGCTTATGAGAGACTGCACTGATCTCCCCCCCCACCCCCCCAACCCCACCTCTCGTGGACTCTGGCCTAAAAAGTCAAAAAGTTATTGGCCCCAAACAAAAGGAAGAGGCTTTTAAGATGTGTATTCAAACACAGCCAGAGGGCCTTGCTGGAACAATGGCATAAAATGCCATAAAAGTGTGAAGGCGAAAGACAAGCCGGGGTGGATTGTGAATGAGGATGAAGAGTCTCCGAGCAAGCGCCACGAGTCAATTCTCCCCTTGGCACTTAGTAGGAATGCAAGAATTTCTTCCTTTCCCCATTGATGTCAGAATTTGTAGAGTCTTCTACTTACTCTCTCCCCCACTTCTGGCAAGGTTATTTTACGTGCTAGATACCTAGAGCAGCACTGTCCAATAGGAATATCATACACAGTGTGATTAAAACATTCTAGTAGCCGGGACGCCTGGGTGGCTCACTGGGTTAAGTGTCTGACTTCTGCTCGGGTCATGATCTCGCGGTCCGTGAGTTCGAGCCCCGCGTCGGGCTCTGGGCTGACAGCTCGGAACCTGGAGCCTGCTTCGGATTCTGGGTCTCCCTCTCTCTCTGCCCCTCCCCCACTTGTGCTCTCTCTCTCAAAAATAAAAATAAAAAATAAACATTTAAAAAAAAGAAAAGAGGGGCACCTGGGTGGCTCAGTCGGTAAAGCGTCTGACTTCTGCTCAGGTCATGATCTCACGGTTTGTGGGTTCGAGCCCTGTGTCGGGCTCTGTGCCGACAGCTCGGAGCCTGGAGCCTGCTTTGGATTCTGTGTCTCCCTCTCTCTCTTCTCCTTCTCTGCTTGTGTTCTGTCTCTCGAAAATAACCCTCAAAAATCAAAATTGAGATTAAAAATAAGTGAAATTAATTGAAACAGTTTGTGTAACTGAGTATATCTAAAATATTGCCATTTCAACACACAGTCAACATAAAAGTTATTAATGAGATATTTTACATCCTTTTCTTATAGTGTCTTTGAAAGAAAATAAAGCTGCTATGTCTTCTCCGCAGTGGATTATCCAGCATCCTCTCCGAGGCCGGACAGTTTTGCAAACTGTGCTGTGTTGTACGATACATAAGGATTTCCAAGTCTAAGAAAGCGAGTCAGCTTTAGAAATACTCGACATTTGACTAACACCGGCATTCTTACGAGGCATGCTTATCGGATCAACTACCTCCTAGAGTTTAGACATATCCTGCCCTTAGTGTGGGTGTTTCAGAAGGCGGGCGTCACTTACCTATACAGCAACACATTGCGCTTTACGTGTGTCTGGTTTCGTGGAAGAAATGTTTATCCACTTAACAACTAAATTAACCTTCACAACAGGAGAGCGTTCCAGCACCCTTGGAAAGAGGTGGTGGGTTAAACACATGCCCAGTGATGCGAGCCAAGCCAACAAAGAGAAAGGGAGTGTAAGCCTCACAAAATTAAAAGCACACAGAACGAAGCCAGGTCGGGAGGTGACGCCGGTCCAGGGGCGAGCGAGTGAGCGAGCCTGGCCCTGGAGGCACTTAGGCAAGTTTAAGGGCCACACGCAGGGATGGCTCTCGGGTACAGGGCGACAAAAGCCGAGCCCTCCGGGGTTCCCTTCCTGCGGGGCAGGCGCGGTGGCGCACGCGGGGCCCTGGAGCTGCAGGTGCAGCGCAGCCTGGGGGTCGTGCCCTCACACACTCGACCGGCGGCAGGGACTCTTCCTTAGAGGCTTAAAACCCGGCTACCTAATCGGAGCCGGCAGCCAGGCTTTCCAAAAGTAAACTCTTTGCATCGGGGGCCAGGGACACTGAGCGGCAGCGCCGTTTCCCGCGGCGAGCGGGCGCCCTCCGCTCCGGCCGGGACCTTAGCGGAACCAGGGTGCGGCCGGGGGCCCTGGCTCGGCGGCTGCCGCTGGCGGGCTCCCCATGCCCACCCACCCGCGCGCAGGGGTCCCCCGTCCCGGCGGTAACGGAACGAGTAACACCAGCCCCACATTCCAACCAGCCCCCGCTGCCCGACGCTTCGGCCCTATTTATAAGGGGTGGGCGGGGCCCCGCCCCTCGCGAGTTCCCGCGGCCGCTCAAACGCGCGAGAGCAGCAGCAGCAGAGGCAGCAGCACCGCCTCTCTCCCAGAGACCCCCTCCCTTTCCCTCTTCAGGGGAAGAGGAGCTCCACCGCCCCTCCCGAGACGCGGCTCCGACGCACGCTCGTACGCACGCGCGCGGTGGCGTCAGTTCCTGGCGCCGGCGGCGCGCGGCCCTGCTTCCGCTTTCCGCTGCGGCGCGCGCCCCGCTCTCAGCCGACTCGGGATCATGGCGGCCACGGCCACGATGGCGACCTCGGGCTCGGCGCGGAAGCGGCTGCTCAAAGAGGAGGACATGACCAAAGTGGAATTCGAGACCAGCGAGGAAGTGGACGTGACGCCCACGTTCGACACCATGGGCCTGCGGGAAGACCTGCTGCGCGGCATCTACGCCTACGGTCGGGGGCCGCGGGGTGGCCGGGCGGCGAGGGCGGGGGCGCGGCCGGGAGGGAGTCCCGGGGCCCAGCATGCCGCGGCCCCGCCGTGTCGGTGTCGGAGGCTTCGGCGCGTCGTCCTCGGTGCACAGCACGGTGCCGGGTCCAGCGAAGGCTGAGAAGTCTTCCCGGGCACTTGGGAGCCGTTCATGCGTCGGATAACGGGCTTGTACCTAGTAGGTGCTAGGGACCCGCGCTGCTCTGGGCGCTAAGGGTTTGGCAGTGAATCCGGCAGGCTCGTGCCTAGACCCGAGGCTGCTTCAGGCAGTGGTGATGGCTGTGACGCGGGGAGCAGGGGGAGTAGTGGGGCTACTATTTGAACTGAGGTCTGGATTAAGGAGCCCGTCGTGAGAGGACCGGGCAGAGGGAAGGGCTGGTGCCAGGACCGTGCGGTACTGAGTCCGTGCGTTCCAGGCACAGAAAGAAGCCTCCTGTGGTGGGAGCCCAGGGGCGACTCTGGAGGGGCAGACAGGGCCAGATCTTACAGCGTGCTGTGTGAGGTGATGAAGAGTTTTTTATTTCTAAGTGCAGCGGGAAGCCTTTGGAGGGTTTTAAGCAGGGGTCAGATTTGCAGGTACAGAGATTATTTTGGGAGTCTGGATTTAAGGGGAGGTGAGAGGTGAGGCTGGAGAGGAGGCAGGGGAGAGGTGATGGTGTTGCGGTGGCGATGGGTTGGATGTGAGCAGCAGAGGTGGGTGGTGGTGCTGTTTGCTTAGGTGGCGAGCCCTGGAGGGAGGCAGAGTCGGGAGTTCTGTCCTGGGCGAGGTGAATCTCAGGGGCTTGTAAGCCATTCAGTTGGAGATGTTGGGAGGCAGTTGCCCGAGTTGAGAGCCTGGGAAGAGTTGGGGTGGGGAGGCAGTGCAGATGGGAGTGATCGGCATCTGTGTTTAACGCCTGGGACTGGGCTGTCATTCACCCAGCAGTCCTTGATGTTTTGGCAGTTTAGGCAGCAAAGAGGGTGCTGAGGGGATGGGAGGTGACAAGTGCCAGCGCATCCCCGCCTGCTGCGAGGCTGACAGTCCTGCCTGCCTCCGGACAGCCGGGACATCCCTGCCCCAAACACCGTTTTTAGTTTCCCAGCCACGTGCTTGGTCACGATGAGGGTTTTAAGTCATCTATTATAGTTTTTATGTTAAATGGGAGTTGTACTGTATTTTAAAAGACTGCCCCAAATTAAAAAAAATTTTTTTTTGTACATAAACTTTTGTTTACTTGGAAAATACTTTTACGCCTTCAGAGTAGCCTCGTTCCCCGGTAACAGTCACGTAGAGGGGATGGTGTCCTAGTTTGTATAGCTGCACCGTGAGTGGAAGGGGCACAGTGTGGACCCCGCAGAAAGACCCAAGCAGTAGAGTAAATGCAGTGTAGACACTTGGGCAGCATGCAGACCGTACGGAGAGGGATGAGGGGTGGCTGCAGAGCCACTGGACTTATTTCCCTTCCTTGTAGTTCAAACAGTAACGCAAAGAATAGCTCTGCAAGTGACTGTAAATAGCACAGAAAGAATTGGGAGTCAAAGGTGAGCCCCCGCCCAGGGTCCGGGAGTGCCACCGTTAACTTTTTGGGGGGTCTTGGTAATCTAACTGAGGTCTCTGTATTCTGCAACGGTGTTTTTAAATAAGGATTTTGTACAAATGAGATCCACGTTAGTATAAAAACATGGTTCAGCCCGGTTCATTCACCAGCTGTTTGTTGAGAGCTTCCGTATGTTGGACTTGGGGTTAGGAGGGGTGGGGGTGAGGGCTTAAACAAGGATACCGAGGAGCTTCCAGTGTGTGGTTAGAACT